TTCATATGTTTATTCCCGTTGAAAACTTAACCTATATTGTCATCAATCACCAAAAAGGGGGAGATTGTAAGTGCATCTAGTGCCCCTTAGTGATTTTGGTGTATTGAAGACTTATAGGTTAAGGGACTGATGCGTTCATGGGTGTACATAGGTATATAAGTCTATGAGGAGTTTGATATTTACAGAGAAAGTCGACCCCTAAAAATGAAGTTCTTCAACTGAAGACTTTGGATTTCTGAAGACTTTTTGAAGACTTTGGAAGTGAAGAAATTGGTGTGACCTTGAAGACTAGGCAATCATTCGAGGAACATGAAGCGTGAAGACTTTTGTTTTCGTAGTTTCATTTTCTCTTTCTTGAGTCATAGGAAACACCGTACTGTTAAAGGGGGTCGAGGAAATACTAAGGAAAAATTTCCATGTGATGCTCAACTCAAAATCCTACACCTACCAATCCCTTCGAGTGAAGCCATTGGAAATCTCATACAGTTCAGTCATATTCTTCAGTGACAGAGACGAAGTTCTTCTGGTCTCTGAGGAATTTGTTCTGATTGAGGAGTTAGGAACTCACCAGTGTGAATTGCCTACACAGTGAGGAACATGATAGCCCTGAGGATTTTGATAGTTAAAATTCCGACCGTTGCTGTGCTACGTGCCAGCGGTTCCAAAATATCTACCCACCTAACGGTCATATCAGACAAGGGCATTTATGTCTTATCATGACGGGCTGCTCCCTAGGCTATAAATAGCCGCCCCCTTCAACCACTAGCTGGTTGCCTGCTCCGAGAGAAACTGACACTTGTCATTTGAGAGCATCCCATCCTCCGAGGACTTTGAGCGAAATCATCAAGTGAGGAAAACCCCAAACCCCAACCTACAAACCCCAAAGTGATTGAGCATCATTGAAGAGATTGATCCTGCGTGGATCCGATGCTTGTTTCCTTTGAAGACTGTGCTTCTTCCAGCCGGTTAGGCGTCAAGGTCTAGAGCATCCAAGAGGTATTGTGGATCGCCGAGTGACCGAGTTTGTGAAGGTTCGGAAGTCACCTGAAGACTTACCACGAGTGATTGGGCGAGGTCTGTGTGACCTTCGCTCAAGGAGAGGACTGTGTGTCCGGGACTGGGTGTCCTCGAGTTTAAATACTCAGCCGCTCCAACCAGATGTACAACTGAGACAGCAGTTGGAACTGGTCTACCAAATCATTGTCTTCACCGAGCTAACTGGTTCTATCTCCTCAACTCTTTCATTTCCTCATGTATGTTGTTGTGTGCTTGTTCATATCTGTCTGAAGACATTGACTGAAGACTTTCTCAATTTCCTCAGTTCTATTTCTTCACTCTGTCCGTCTTCTTCCTTGTGTTATCCTATGTTTATGCTTTCTGTACTCTGTGCTTGTCTTCATTTCATCATGATGACTGTGCTTGTGTTCTGTTATGTTCCTTTCTGAGTACTTATTCCGCTGCAAGTAGTTCTTCATTTAGGAATTTCCTCACAAGCAAATTCATCAGTGAAGAATTCATAAAAATCGCCTATTCACCCCCCCTCCAGTCGATATAACGCACTATCAACAGACAAAGGGAACTTCATATGTTGTCATAAAGGTTCGACCGATAAAGATCTTCATAGAATATGTAGGAACCAATATGGGCATCCAGGCCCCGCTATTCGTTACTGGCCGGAGAAGCGTCTCGGTCATGTCTACATCATTCTTGAACCCGTAGGGTCGCACACTTAACGTTCGTTGACGATATAATACTATATGAGTTATGTATGTTGGTGATTGAATGTTGTTTGGAGTCCCGAATGAGATCACGGACATGACGAGGATCTCCGGAATGGTCTAGAGGTAAAAATTAATATATAGGATGGTAGTATTTGGTCTCCGGAAGAGGTTCGGAATGCATTGGATAATTATCTGATCACCGGAAGGGGTTCCGAAGACCACGAGGTGTTGTTGGGCCTAACAGGCCAAAAGGAGGGAGCACACCAGCCAACAAGGGGGCTGGTGCGCCCACCTCTTGGCCGCCGACCCTTAGGAAAGGAAAGAGGAGGGGCTGGCCCCCTCCCGCCTTTCTCCACGCAAGGGAGAACGAAGGGGAGGCACCATAAGGCACCCGACCCCCTTTCCTCCCCCCACACGCCAAGAAGGAAAGGGGGGCGCCTATGGCAGGCACCCTAGGGTGGCCGCCAGCCCCCTTGGGGTGCGCCTAGGGTCGGCTCCCCTCCCCCTCCACCTATATATATGAGAGGAGGGGAGGGGGCGCCACACACCATGAATCCCCAAGCCGTGTGTCAGCGCCCCCTCCCCCTCTAATTCGTCCTCCACTCTAAACCGTTCTGCTAGGTGAAGCCCTATGAAAAAGTTTCACCACTACCATCACCACACCGTCGTGCTGCCGGAACTCATCTACTACTTCGCCTCCGTTGCTGGATCGAGAAGACGAGGATGTCATCGAGCTGAACGTGTGCTGAACACAGAGGTACCGTACGTTCGGTGCTTGATCGGGACGGATCGTGAAGGTGTACGATTACATTAACCGCGTTGATAAACGCTTCCGCTTAGCGATCTAAAAGGGTATGTAGATGCTCTCCTCCTTTCGTAGCTATGCATCTCCACGGATAGATCTTGCGTGTGCGTAGATTTTTTTTTGTTTTCCATGCAATGTTCCCCAACAAATTAGTCATCCAGTTCTTTTCTAGGATTCCAGCCTGTGATTGTTGTATGAGTTGTGTGCTAAAATATTTGTAACGCCCCCCTAGATTGAAACTGCATGCTGAATTGCGAACACTGGGTATTTCAAATAGTTTCACATCTAATGTGAACATGAAAGCGAGTTGCAAATCTCATAAAGTGTTTAATATTGTAATTTAAAAGCAAGTTGCAAATATAGTGCTTGATATTACATTTTAAAAAGTGAGTTGCAAATCTCATAAAGTGTTTAATATTGTAATTTAAAAGCAAGTTGCAATATAGTGTTTGATACTACATTTTAAAAAGTGAGTTTCCAACTACAAATATAAGGATGATCTCAAGGTACAAGCATACGACAATGATGCGGAGGGCACGCGCAAACGACGCCTCCTACAGGGAGGACGCAGAGGGGCGGCGGGCGCGGAGGCGACGAGTATGGTTGTGGACGATACGGGAAGGCCGAGCGCGGAGGTGACAGGGATGGCGGCGGATGTGACTAGGATGGTTGTCGAGAAGATGGGAAGTCCGGGCGCAGGTGACGGGGATGGCGCCGGACGGGACAAGGCAGCGTCATAGGGGACCTGACGTCAACAGATCTGACGGTGTCAGGTCAGGCTTGCCAGCTGGCAGCGCGAACCCTAGCTCGGTTCGAGTGCTTGTGGCTAAGGACAAACGAGAGTAGGGGCGGACGTGAGCCTTCTCGCTGGATAGGCTCGTTTTGGGCCTCGTTCGCTCTGCCCCGAGTGCCATTTCGGTCGTAATTATGATGTTCAATAGAGGTAGTCATTAAAAATGAATCTTTTTTTAAGGGGCTCGCAGGAATCGCCATAATTGCCAAGTTTTGACGACTCTGAAATGCACTGCAATTTTGGATGATTCTACACAATTCCTGAAAAATAAATAAGTTTTTTTGACAATTTTGATTTTCCAGACCATGATTCTTCATAATTGAGTCAAAAAGAATTGTCCCTTAATGTTTAATGTGATAACTTGATCCTTCTGATCTACGACTTTCTTCATCAGTGATGGTTGCTGCCCTGGTGCGCTGGTCCTATTGGACCTTAGTACGAGGATTTCCCGACTGTCTAGTACAACAAGGTTTTCCCGGCTCTGGTGAGGGAGGGGCGATGACAGCAGCGCCCCTTCGGCTCACTCTAGTGATTGTAATCGTTGCTAGATGGTCCAAGAACATAATTGTACTTTTTATTGCCCGTTGTTGTTCTTTACGCTGCCAAAGACTAATAGATTGTAAGTTTCTTGAAAAAAATGTGATAGCTTGGAAGAGGACCCATATGTGATGGCTTGGAAGACGGATCAGGATTGATATCACAGGACCAATGTACTGGTGTGCCCTGATCCGCTGTAGGCGCCAAGCGGCAGATTGCGAAATATTCTGGTTGGCGGCAATGCTTGAATTTGCTTCCCGCCAGACGGTGTTAAAATCATGCGCCAACTTATTCCTCGCGCTTGGCCCGCGCACTTCTCGAGACAACTTCCCCTCCCACACCGCCACCGCCGCCCTCTGCAAGCTGCGTGCGTGACCCTCCCATTCCGGTCGCCGTTCTCTTAGCCACTAGCCCGCTTAAAACCTAACCCTAGCGCACCAAACGAAGCAAGCAACCACCCATGGACACGCCCGTGCCGAAACGGCCTCGCCTCGTGCTGGCACCGGCGCCTCGGACAATCGCCGACATGGCCCCGGAGATCCTCCTCCGCCTCCCTCCACACGACCCTGCGCGCCTTGTGCGCGCCTCCCTCGTCTGCTGGCACTGGCGCCGCCTCCTCACCGACCCGGCGTACCTCCACCGCTACCGTGCATTCCATCGAACACCTCCCATGCTCGGCTTCATCCTCAACCTGAAGCAGCACTACCAAGGCATGGCCCAGCTCGTCCCCACCTCCTCTTTCTGCACCGTCGCCTCCAACCGCCCCGGCCTGAATGTGCTGGACGCCCGCCACGGCCGCGTGCTCCTCCACACCGCTCAGGGCCAGCTCCTCGTCGTCTGGGACCCCGTCACAGGTGAAGAGTGCAAGATCCCTCGCATGCCGGCCGACGCGCTCGGCTTCAACGCGGCCGTGCTCTGCGTTGCGATCGGCTGCGACCACCTCGACAGTCATGGTGGACCCTTTTGTGTCACCTTCATGGGATGCGGCAAACGCAGCATCACGTTCGCTTGCACCTACTTGTTGGAGGCCGGTGCCTAGAGCCAACGAATTGAGATCGAGCAGCCGACGTTTGTTGACGGGCGACCGAGCGTCCTTGTGGGGAACACACTCTACTTCACCTGCGATCCATACCTCGATTTCAAAATGTTGGGGTACGACATCGTCAGGCAGGAGCTGTCGGTGATCTGGCCACCGTCCCAGCACGAGTACTACTCTTGCACTGTCCTTGTGAAAGCGGAGCATGGCAAGCTGGGGTTCGCCGGCGTGCGGAATGGCACGCTCTACCTCTGGTCGATGAAGGACGGCGCCGACGGGAATGTGGAATGGGTGCAGCGCAGAGTTATCCAGCACAAGACGATGGTCCGCACTCGTGGCCTGTCGATGCCACCTGAGGTCGTTGGCTTCGCGGACGGCCACAGACTCATTTTCGTGAGGACAGGCAACACGGTGTTCTCCATGGAGCTCAAGTCAGGCCATGTCCGTAAGGTATACACCTGCAGGTCAAGAAACTACGACGTCATCGTTGTTCCCTACATGAGCTTCTTGTCACGCCCCTCTTACTCAATTCAAGCTTCCATGGCGGATTACAGCGAATTTGGCTAGGGTTTATGGGGAAGAGAAGGGGATCGGGAGGAAGGAGGAAGATACAGGGGAAGGGAAACAGGGAGAAGGTTCGACCAGCTACAATTCCGTGCCTCTCTACTCGGACCCGGGTCCATTTAACCCTTCGCTACATCTCCCAAGTCGACGGGTCGTAGAGCCTGTTGGGCCGCTTGCTCCTCTTGGGCCGTCCGGTGGCGCTGGTGGGCTCTGGAGGGACTGCTGACGTAGTAGGGCCCGTGACATCCCCCCTTTCTTTAGACGCGGCTTGTCCCCGAGCCGCAGCACCTCGGAAACGGCTTCTGAGCTCGAAGAAATCCTCCCATGATGCCAGTGCTTCCGGCTGAGACGACCATTTGATCAACACTTGGGGGATCTTCGAGTTGCCCTTGGTAATCAGACGCCTGTCCAGCACCTTCTCCGGAAAGTCTGGCGGAGAATGAGGCAACGCTGACTCTGGTAAGGCAGACACCGTCTCGGTGCCTGGAGGCAGCGCCCCCCTGAGCAGAGACACGTGGAACACCGGGTGGACGCGGCTCCCTTCTGGCAACTGCAGGCGATACGGCACGTTCCCAATCCGAGCTGTCACCTGAAACGGGCCAAAAAACTTGAAGGATAATTTGTGGTTAGCCCGTGGCGCGACAGAGACCTGAACATATGGCTGCAACTTTACGAACACCCAATCGCCCACTGAAAAGGATCTCTCTGATCTTTTCTTGTTAGCCTGGTCCTTCATCCGTTGTCGGTATCTTTCCAGATGCTGGCGAAGTAAGGCTATCATGACTTCCCTCTCTTGTTGCCAACTTGCCAGATCTGTGGGGGCCAGCATAGAAGCATTTACAATGCCAAAATGGCGCGGAGGGTGACTGTAGAGTACCTCAAAAGGGGAAGCTTGCAATGCAGAGTGCGGTGCCGTATTGTACTAGAACTCCGCCAAATGCAACCACTGAAACCAACGGTGCGGGCAAGAGTGAACGAAACATCGGAGAAATGTCTCCATGCACTGGTTTACCCTTTCAGTGGTGCCGTCCGTCTGGGGGTGATAAGCTGAGGACATGCGCAGCTCTGTTCCTGCTTGCCTGAACAACTCCTTCCATAGATTGCTGGTGAAAACTCGATCTCTGTCTGACACCATTGTGTACGGCAACCCGTGTAGCTTGTAGACCTGGTTCATGAATGTCGTGGCCACTTGAATGGCCGAGAAGGGATGCGCCAGAGGGATGAAGTGAGCGTACCATGTCAGTTTTTCCACCACTACCATGATGCAGGAGTATCCTCGGGATAAAGGCAGCCTTCCACGAAATCAAGTGTGACGGTGTGCCAAGCATGTGGAGGAACTGGCAGTGGCTCCAATAACCCTGGGGTTCGCACCCGCTCTGTCTTGGCTTTCTTGCACGTACTGTAGTTGGATACGAACGTGACCACGTCTTGCCGCATCCCTGGCCACGCGAACAATCTCCTCAGGCGTTTGTGCGTTGCGTGAATCCCAGAGTAACCCCCTGTTGCGCTCGAATGGGTGGCTTGCAGAATCTTTTGGTGCATGGTAGAGTTCCCTCCTACCCATACTCGTCCTTTGTACATGATGACTCCATCTTTGACCCTGTAGTCAAACGAGGGATCACCGTCCACACTTTGTTGCTGCAGAATTGCTTTGGCCTTGTCGTTGTTTTGGTATCCTTGCACCACCTCCTCTAACCACACCGGGGTAGCAACTGTGATAGCTATGATCTCAGCCTCCCGACGGGATAGGGTGTCAGCCGCCTTGTTCTCCACGCCTTTGCGGTACACCACTTTGTATTGCAGCCCCATTAGCTTAGTATAAGCCCGTCTTTGCCACGGAGTAACCAGCCGCTGATCATTGATATGAGCCAAAGCGCTTTGATCGGTGCGGATGATGAACTCTGAGCTTTGCAGGTAAGAGCGCCACTTTTTCCACTGCCATGAGGATAGCCATGAATTCCTTCTCATAAGTGGAAAGACCTCGGTTTCTGGGACCCAACGCCTTGCTGAGGAACGCCAGTGGGTGCCCCTCCTGCATGAGTACTACTCCCACTCCAAAATCTGAGGCATCTGTTTCGATCTCGAACGGCTTGTCGAAACGGGGCAATGCTAGGACAGGTGCTGTGATCAGTGCCTTTTTTAGGTGCTGAAAGGCCTCCTCGGCCTCCATAGACCAAACGAACACTGCTCCCTTTTTCAGCAAGTTAGTCAGAGGACGACTGATGAGTCCAAAGTGTCGGACGAATCGCCTGTAATAGCCTGCCAAACCAAGAAACCCTCTGACCTGTCAGACTCCAGTGGGGGTAGGCCATTCCCTCATGGTTGTGATGTTTTTCTCGTCTGTTGCAACTCCTTGGGCGCTGATCACATGACCCACGTAGGTCAGACTTGGCTGGGCAAAATGGCACTTGGACAGCTTCACCTTCAGCTGATGCTCCTCCAGTCGCTCGAACACTTGTCGAAGAAGACAGACGTGCTCCAATAAGGTGGCAGTGTGCACCAAGATGTCGTCGATGAACACGAGCACCCCATGGCAGATCAATCCTGCCAAGACAAAATTTATCACTCCTTGAAAAGTTCCCGGTGCCTCTGACAGTCCATATGGCATAACCTTGAATTCATAGTGGCCCAAGTGTGTTTTGAAAGCCGTTTTGAACTCATCCCCGGTGGCCATTCTGATTTGATGGTATCCGGCCCTCAGATCCAAACTGGTGAACCACTTTGAACCAGCTAATTCGTCCAAAAGCTCCTCCACAACCGGCATCGGGAACCTGTTTCTGACTGTAATAGCGTTGAGCTGGCGATAGTCAACACAGAACCTCCACGTCAGATCCTTCTTCTGCACCAGCAATACCGGCGAAGCAAACGGGCTGTAGCTGGGTTGGATAATGCCTTGTTGCAACATCTCTTTTATCTGCCTTTCTATTTCATCCTTCTTGGGAGGGTTGTAGCGGTAGGATTTGATGTTAACCGGCTGCGCTCCTGGTATCAATGGGATTTGGTGGTCAAATGGCCTGGATGGTGGCAGACCCTTTGGTGCCTCAAACAGGTCCTGGAACTTTTCGACTAATTCAGCAATTGGTGGGGGAACCTCTTGAGATCCTTTCTTCTGTGTTTCGTCCACTGTTTGCAGCTGAACCATTTGGTGTATGCCATTACAAGCCACCAGGAAGTGGAGCTGATCAAGAGGTGACACTCCTTGGTGTGAGGTTGAATTCCTTTCAGGGTTATCTTCTTCCCATGGTGCTCGAATGACATCAGCTTGTGACCCCAATGGACATCCATTGGGCTGTGTTGCTCGAGCCAATCCATTCGAACGATCATATCATAACAGCCCAGAGGTAAAACCTTCAGATCAGTGCAGAATTTGTGCCCTTGAACTGTCCACTTGCACTGCTGAATCACCTTATCGCACAACAGATGCCCTCCATCTGCAATTTTGACCTTCAGGGCACTCGTGGTTTTGCAAACTCCCTGTAAGTTGGCCGCTAGATCAGTGCTGATGAAGCTGTGAGAGCTGCCGGAGTCGATCAGCATTAACACTTGTTGTTGCTGAATTTTCCCATGTAGCCTGATAGTTTGCGGGGCGACAGTTCCTTGCATCGCAGCCCTTGAGATAGTGTGACCCTCACTGTCCGATTCTGAATGCTCCTCGCTGTTTGACAGCCCAGGCAAACCCAGCACATCGAACATCTCCTGGACCACATGGAGTTGCACCGCGGTGGCACACTTGTGCTCCCTGCTCCATTTTTCTCCGCAGAGAAAACATAGACCCTTGGCTCGGCGATACGCCTTGAGTGTGGAGAGCCGATCCTCGACTGCGTGGCCGCTGCGGGGCCCTTCTATCGCCACCCCACGACGATTGTCAGAGATCGTGGTCGAGGTGGGTGGGGGACGCCCTGGAGGAGCCGGAAGGGGCATGGCTCCCCTGAGATGGGCGCGGCTGCCTTACCCGCCCCCAGTCCCACCTTTAGAGCGCCGCGGCTCGCGTCGCCTGGAAATCTCCAGCGCCTCTTCCTGTAAGAAAGCGAGAGAAACAGCGGTATCTAGATCTTTGGGATTATGAACTAAAACAACAACACGAATTTCATCCCTAAGGCCATCCACATAACACAAAGAGAACAACGCATGATCCCAGGTAGTGTTGTGTGCTAGCAGGGAGTGCATGATTTCAGTGATTTTTGCGGTGTAATAAGATACTGAATCCATCTGTCGCAAATGAAACAACTGCCGCAACAGAACGCTGAACTCGTTTCTCTCAAATTGCTCACAAACAACCGCGCAAAACTTCTCCCACTCCATGCTGTGTAAGTCAAAACTGTTGTTCTCTAACCACACCATGGCAGCCCCGGTGAAATGCATGGCCGTGGTGTCGACCCAGAACTCCGGGTCCAAATGAAACACTCTAAAGTATGATTCACAATTGCGCCTCCAACTGCGTGGCCTCTCTCCCCCGAACAGCGGGAAATCCACCCTGGGCCTAGGCAGGTTAGGTGCACGCCGCTGGAACGGACTGCCTGAACGGGATGAACCCCGCAGTGGAGATCGCCCCAATGGCCTCGATCGGTGATCTGCCTGGTGTGAATTCTCCACAAGACGAGAGCTGGGGCCTGAAAACGTACCCGTGACCGGAGGCGGGACTAGGGTGGTCACCACCCCAGAGCCAACCCCCCGGTGAAGTAGGTCGACACGGTGGCCATCGGGCCCTTGGTTGCTGCTGCCGTAGTTGGGAAACGGCGCGCCGGGTGGCCTCGGAAGGATCGGAGGCAGCTCCGAGGGCTTGAGGGTGAGGACGGGGTTGCGGGCGATGGTGTCGATCTCCTTGCGTACCTCCCCCATCTCCTGACGCAGATCGGTGAAGGACCGCTCCAGCTCGGGCCGCCACGCCGCCAGATCCGCCACCGCGGGCTGGATCTTGGCAAAGATGGTGTTGGACGCCATCACGGCCTTCATGATTGACGCGTTCTGCTCCTGAATCGCCTTGAGCGCCGCCGCCAACTCCTCCACCCTCTGCTCCATCTCTACCGCCTGCCTCTGCTGCCGAGTGGTGTAGGTGGGTTTTTGTAGGTAATCCGGTGGATCTGATACCGTATGTCACGCCCCTCTTACTCGATTCAAGCTTCCATGGCGGATTACAGCGAATTTGGCTAGGGTTTATGGGGAAGAGAAGGGGATCGGGAGGAAGGAGGAAGATACAGGGGAAGGGAAACAGGGAGAAGGTTCGACCAGCTACAATTCCGTGCCTCTCTACTCGGACCCGGGTCCATTTAACCCTTCGCTACATCTCCCAAGTCGACGGGTCGTAGAGCCTGTTGGGCCGCTTGCTCCTCTTGGGCCGTCCGGTGGCGCTGGTGGGCTCTGGAGGGACTGCTGACGTAGTAGGGCCCATGACACTTCTGCACTCCAGGTACATATTGATGCACGTTTGAGAATTATGATGTGTGAATATTTGCAATGTCATATGCTCTGAGGTGCTCTTGCAGTCCTGCTCATAGGCAGGTTGCGCAAGACTGTAATCTTATAGGCGTCTCCTTGCCCCTACTGCCTATATGTAATCTTCAGGTCGTTTGTTTGTTTCAGCCTCTCCTTGGAGAACCTGTTTCATTCAAATTTTATCGACAATTCTTGAAATTGGCTTAGATATATTACTTCCTCCGTCCCATAATATAATACACTAGTGTAACAAAAGCTCTTATATTACCGGATGGAGGGAGTAAATCTGAATAATGTTATTGTTTTAGATTTCGTACCTAATTAGTCGGAATAAAGAGCTACAGCATGGTAATAAGCTTAATCAATTGTATCTTTTCAGATCGTGCTATGGGCAGACTGCCATCGCCATGAGGACCCACTGTCATCCTGTAACAAGGACCTGCTGCCCTTGGCTTGTTGCATCTAGTCTAGAAATAAGAATGACAGGAGCCACCCAGCCTCCTCACCGCTTGGGATTCCTGACCGTCGGATTTGTCTTCTGATTCGTTCTGAACTGTATGATCTCGCTCGGGAGAGATCTCGTCCATTGGATCAAGTCGGATCACTGCTACAATGAATAGTAGTTTCCATCCGTTTTTCCTTACTGGTTTTGTTTACTCCGGAATTATTGTCTTACCTTGCTGACGTGTGGGGTCGATCCCTGGTGGGCAGTGCCGGTTAGCGACTGTGTCTGCGAGCGTGGTCTGTGTGTTATTTAGGGTAGAAGTATTCATGCCACCGCCTGTAAAACTGGATGGCCGTCGAGGGTATTTTGGACATTTTGCGTACCCCTATAAAACCGAAGCAGCAGCTACTAAAACCCTAGCCGGTTCCTCCCCTTGCACGGTCGTGCTGCCTCCCCTCGTCCAGCCCTCTCCCCGACCTCGCCGCCCCACACATACCTCCGCTTGCCCAGCCCTCTCCTCGACCTCGTCGTCCCACCCACATCGCCGCCACCGACGCCCCTTAGACCTCTCCATCGCGGACCTCTCTCCTTGTCTTCCTCGCACCACGGCGCCCGCAACCTCCTCCCTTCCATCAATAGAAGGGAAGGAAAGAGAAGAGGGAGGGCGAGCGCGTCAGACGGCGGCCATGGCGGCGCCGTCGTCCAACCTCGGCCTCAGAGTGCTGACCTCTCTCCTCGTCTTCCTCGCACCATGGCGCCCGCAACTTCCTCTCCCTACTGTAAACATAAGGGAAGGAAAGAGAAGGAGGGAGGGCGAGCACGTCAGACAGCGGCCATGATGCTTGCAGATTCGTCGGCGCCGTCGTCTGACCTTGGCCTTCGAGTGCTTCTGCTCGGCGGGCATGACGGTATGGCCTGCCTGCTCCGCGCCCACACCATGGCCTGCTCGGGACGCCGCCCCTCTGCTCCATTTTTGGTCCTCTTCTGTTAGAGTGCTAGGTATACGACGGCATGGGCCATTTACCAACACTACAAGAGCAGTTTGATGCAGATAGGGCAACTCCCGTCCTGGAGAAACTACGGTCGACTCCTGGTCCTCGCAGCTATCCTTTCACCCTCCCACGTCATCAAAGAAGCCCATTGCACATCCTCCTGGTACCACCACGAACAGCCACTCTTCATTGGTAGTAGTACATTGTAGCAGTACATCCTGGCCAGAGGCATGCCAATGTTCTCGAAGTAGACTAGAAGTGGACCGGAGTACTGGATGTTTGGACCACGGTTGCATCCTCAACTTTTTTGAGTAAAATTGGGGGAGGCAATCTCTGTATTTGGCCGGTTGCTTCATGTCTAGTTATGGGGGAGCAGTTCAGGTTAATGAAGAGATGAAAGTGGAGCGTTGGAGCTGAAGATTGAGGAGGGTGGTTGTACATAAAGTGGACTAGGCACGACGTGCTTCTAATTATTGCAGCGAGAAGATGTCCAGAGCATACGGGTCGCAAGGTGCCGAAAGCATCACCAGGCATTAAGCTGAGGCCATTGACCTATAAGGCTATAACTGATATTATGTAAGTTTCTCCCTCAATGTTGGATTCTTATGTACTAGCCCATCCCTGTTATCTTGAAAATCCAGTTCCCATACTGCTTGAAGGTCCGTCAGAAAACCAGGAAGGATATCAGTTTACACTGTTTGACCCCGTCACATGGCATCTGTGACGTACATCAGTTCAATTTATACGTGTCCATTTTGCAAATTGTTGCATTCTGATAAACTGCAAGCATATGCACAGATGGAAGTGCAATCTGAAGGTAAAAAGGATATGTAATGCTATACATGTTGTGTGTATAAGAATAAAAGGGAATGTATCATCGGATGGATTATTGATGCTTTGTGTCATTCTGCAATTAGCGTCATGGTTATTTAAGATAGAAGTGGAATGTTAATTGGCTGGTAGTGGCATGTTCAAGCATTTCTTTTATGCACAGAAGGTGCTGCATAAAAACAAATTCTTATACATGTTGTGTGTATAAGAATAAAAAGAAGTGGAATGTGTATTGGCTGGAAAAAAATTCACATACAGGAGTAATAAAGCATTAATTTTTATGCAGCACCTTCGGTTATAAGAATTTGTTTTCTAATTCTTGATGGTCAATCACAGGACATTAATTTTTGTTTGCTTTACAATTTTCCAGGAGTAATCGAATGTTAATTGGCTGGTAGTGGCATGTTCAAGTATGGAAAATGATGAGCTCCTACTTCTTTTTATGCCAGCTCTATTTAGTAGGTGAGCTGCGACCTTCTTCCCCACATGTCTGTGGTAATCAGTTATCCTCGAGAGGGAATTGTGATTGTGATTAGTATCTTTAGACCTTGGCCATATTCGTCAGTACTCACGATATTCTTCATTTCTCCTCATTTTTTAAATGTATTGACCTCTGGTATATACAACTGAAATCGATGTGCCAAACAACAAGAAATAGAAGTAACAAGGGATATCTATATATCGGAAGATTTTGAGTGCCATTTTATTAGAGTAGTTCTGAAATGTTGCCTCATTTTTTTTTTCATTCGTGTTGTTTCTCATAGTTTTAAACTAAAAGGAGGAGCTATATAAATTGTCCTTTATCTTTTGAAAACATGTTGTCGTGTAGATTTGTGCAGTCATGGTCAACTGGTATAGATATGTATAGTTTCAAAAGAACATTACAGATATGTATAGTTTCCATGGTTTCTAGGTTGTGAGAGTTCCCCATCTAGGGTGGTTTGGATGTATGTTCCTTAGGCAAGCGACATATAGACAGATCTGAGTTGAAGAGAAGAAGAATTTAGCTAAAGAGGTGAAGATCAAAGTGATTTTTCTCCCTCATTTCAACCTTTTCTTGCGTTTTGATGCTATAATTTGTGATGATGTGTATGCGCACTTGTAAAATCGTTGCTGCCAGCTACGTTTAAACTTGCTAATATATGAGTTCTCTAACAATGGTTTTGTGTGCTCTAACGTAGAGCATGGGCTGCCTGGGGACGGCGCCGGTCCTATACCACCGAGGGGGTTTCTTTTGTAGTTCTGGATACACAATTTTTCGTGAAGAGATGGCTACCCCAAGGCAATCTGAATTAGGTGCTCCTCTATATTTCTCTCACTCATGTTTTAGTTTCCCAACATGTGATTCTCCAAACATTATATTGAGAAGTTTTTCTTTCCCTTATTGCTTATGGATAGTTATGGAGCTACTTCCTGTATACATCTTCTTTTAGGATATTTTTTCCATTGCTTTCTGTATTGGGAGATCCATCATACATGAGTTGGGTAAACATTTGGGCTGTAACATTTGGGCTATACATATCTCCGAGCTTGTGGTCGAAGTACTATTGTTTAAGTTTATCTAAAAAAACAACACTGAATGTGACTTTGGAAGTTTAAGTAGATGCAGACTATAGCAGTAAATGTTTCAGCTAGCATGACACAAACTTCTAGTTTTTGTGCAAATATTTTCATCGTATGTGTAAACTCTGATAAATGTCATGGTCGCTATGTGATTTTTCTTCTAAACATTTTATTTTTCCCTTAGAGATTGTCTGGGAATAGGTGTTATGATGGTGAAATGGTGTAGTTCACTAAGAGCTTATGATTTTGTAAAAACAAGAACACTTCGTTATGCACAACCGTTAAAGGTCCCGAAGAATCCTCCAAGTTAGTTGAAGTGAATAGGCTGATTGAGATGCAAATACCAGAGAGGTAACCATGTTGTATATCTTGAGTTGTAGTATTGATCTTTCTTGGGGGAACAAGCTACAAATTTTCCCTATATTTCAGTGTTGACCTAGATTCATTTTCATGCTTCAGTTCTATTCCTACAAAGTTTATCAGTGTGGAGCTAATAAAAATTTGGGGAACGTTTATATACGGCGCATCGGCGTAACTTTCGGCCGGACGCGCTCACTCGCGCGCACTACGCTGGCTTTCGTGCCACGCTAGCCTGGTAGTCCCAGGCAAACCGCTCCCCACGCTCATGTGTACGTTATGGGCCCCGCGGGACTGTCCTTTTTGTCTCCCTCGGTTATATCTTGCCTTATCTGTTACCTCTCTTCTACCTCCAGCCACACCAAGTTCTACTCTGCTACAAAGTGTTGCATCCGGCTAAGAAAAACGCTGCAATTGATGAAATAAAAAGCTGGAAACAAAAGGCGGCAGATTTTGCGAAGAGAGATTTGCTGGAACCAGCAGAGTCACTGCTACAACCGTGTTGAAAAGATGCTGGAACCGTAGAGGGCAACGGACAAGAGTTTGCTGGAAGTACCAACGTGAGCTCGAATCAGGAATTGTTTTGCTGCAACCGACAATCACGAAAACTACAACCGGCAATCACAAAAGCTACAACCGGTGATCGATTTTTCTTCAATGGCGACGGGGTGGCAACACCGACGAGCTTTTTTTGCTGGAACCAGCATAATGTTTTGCTACTACCAGCTTACATTTTTGTTACCACCAGCAAACCCGAAGGAGAGTACTTTTTTCACGAGTTCGTCATCGGGGTGCTGCGACCGGCGACCGGCCGGAGCTATGGGCGTCCTAGCTGCCACTGCCGGCGAGGGAGCTTCAACCGCGGGCAAAGGTTGTTGCATGCGTGGATCCACCGAAAAAGACATGAGCCGACCACGACGAGAGGTCGGCTACCGGCTGCGGGGGCGACGAGCGCGCGGACTGGTGCTTTGAGGCCGGTGGTCTGCTCATCCATGGAGGTGCGAGTGTGGAGGAGGATTGGGGAAGAAGAAGACACAGGAAAAAAGACATAATCCTAGAGCTGAACGCGTAAATCTGGCGGCTGGGCAGCGACCGGCCCAAATTTGGGCCGGCGCACCGGCGCCTATCGTTGGCCTAAATTTTTTCCGATTAGGATGTTTCATGGTAAAGGTTCCCCAAACAAGTATGGTCTATTGAACTATTTGTGTTTAGTATATATGTTC